ACACACACACACACACACACACACACACACACACACACATACACATTCATTCGATTTTGCTCATCCTATCGATGGAAGTCGTGTGAGGCCAGCCGCGGGGTTGGAGACTTGCCCGTTGGCCGGTGCGTTGCTCAAACATTCGATGGCAAACTCTCTCTCTCTCTCTCTATATCTCTCTCTCTCTCTCTCTCTCTCTCTCTCTCTCTCTCTCTGTGTGTGTGTGTGTGTGTGTTACATGCTGCGCCTGCAACAGGCTGCACGGGCCATTTTCAGGCCCGTGTTGTTTTCAGCCTGAAAGCAGGAAAACAAGGGCCTACAGGCCCCGTGTTGTTTTCAGCCTGAAAGCCTGAAAACAAGGGCCTACAGGCCCTCTGTCGTTCCAGCCTAAAACAGGGTCTTTCCGGCCCTGAGTCTTTTCAGCCTGAAACGGAGGGCCATTTTCAGGCCCTCATAAGATCGACCTGCCCTGAAACTCAGACACCAGGCCAGGGTTTTAGCTCAGGCCATTTTTGGCCTATTTTCAAGACAACCTTTGTTTGAGCTTCAACCCCAGGGTCTGGCACGTATTGGCATTGGCAAGAGCAGCCTCCTGGACGGGCCAGCACTGTACAAGACTGGCCCCTCCTGCAGGCTGCAGGTAGTTCCTAGGTACTTCCCAGGCACTTCGCGTGCAGTTCAGGAGGCAGAAGGTAGTCTTCAGGATTCGGCAGCAGCACTCTGGAGGAGCGCTGCAGGAGTAGTAGTAGCCCTAGCAGTAGTCTTCAGCGCTGGGCGCTAGTACCGTTGGCAGTAGTCTTCAGAGCTGGTTGCTATCAGGAGCTAGAGTAGTATTAGAGAGAGAGAGGTTGGGCGGAGGCCATGGATACTTACCTGCAGCACCATAGCTCCAGCTTCGCCTTCGAGGTACCTGCAGCACAGAGCCATCTTCACTGGTTAGTACCTGGCATATGGGTCCACCATCTCCCTCTCACCCTCTCGCTACCTGACTTCAGTGCATCAGCAGACTATGAGAGAGCGGGCTTGGTGACATTGGATCCAGACTCGACATTGGGCTTCAAACATTTGATGAGGGATTATCTGGGACTTGTAACGAAGACTTGGTGTTGACGACATTCCCATCCTCCCCCTTCTTCTTCGTCTGCTCCCCTCCTCTCTGTGTATGGACTGGACCTGGCGCAGTCTTCCTGTGTGTAGGGCCAGGCCCCTTCACACCTTGTGACAACGATGATGTATGTTTGGTCTGTACTGCGACATTGATTGGGCTAGTCATTGGTATTCTAGCATTCTACTGCGCTGTCTTGCACTACGTGAAAGAGGTAAGTCCCGGTCAGGTCAGGACTTGTATCTAAGTCTTCCCCTGCGCTATAAAGCACCATTTTTGTATGTATCAGAGTGTACACTGCTTGTTGAGATTCTACTTGCACTGCATTGTCCATTCAGTCCTCCTCATCACATTGCGGATCCTTGGTTATATATGTACATCGCCCAACTGGGAATGTAATAATTGGTATCGGAGCACCACACGTGAATCAGGACAACCTGATCTGACACGTGTGCGGGAATGCCAGGAACTAAGTAGCTGATTAGTCTTCATTGATTGATTAGAGCACACTAGTTAGCTCTCAAAATCACGATTTTGACCTCACTGCCGAAAATCAATTTTTTTTTTCTTTTCTTGGGTTTTGTTCTCCTGCTATTTCTGTTGTGGAAAATCGCAATAGCGCAACACCTGAAATTTTCGTTTTCGTTTGAAAATTCGAAATTTCGTTGCTGGTAAATGTGGAACATCTTTTTTTTCAAAAATTTTGATATCCTTTTGCAATTTCCCGTTATTTGGAGATACAAAATATTTTTTAAATCTCCGAAATTCCTTTCGAGATTTGAAAACAGTACGGGAAATCCCTCTTGCAGTTATCATTTTGCAAACTGCACGTACTCTTATCTGAGTAATTCCGAATAGTTTTTGTTGTACTTTATTTTCTGAATTCTCTTATCGGACAATCATTTGCAGTCTGAAAGTTCGAAAATTTGCGTCAGGGTAATTTCTCACTTCAGGGGTAGTTGGGAGGCCTACCGAACTTGCAAACGAGTATTTTTTTCTTTTTTCTCGAATGTTTTTTTTGCAAAGTTCAAACTTTTCTTTTTTGATTAGTGGCTCCTTATCTGGGCGATTCATCCCACCCACCCCTCCCCACCTACATTGTTGCCCCTTGTGATCTTCTCTATCTGTCTCCGGGTACCCCTATGGTGGCATTGGTGAGTTGCCACGTCAGCAGACCACGTCAGCACGCATACCACGTCAGCAAGACACATCAGCAGGACACGTCAGCTGACAGCAGTACCACGTCAGCAACAGGGAGTGCCACGTTAGCAGTCCTCCGGCCTGGTCAATGCTCACGCGCTTACAAACAGCCGGCATGGATCAGAAGTTCGGGAAAATGGACGAGGCCTATCAGGCCCGGATGCTGCTTCTGATTACTGAAGCCAAGCAACGGTTGGATGTGGTAGCAGCCGCAACAAAGAAGAAGGCGGAGGACGCCGGGAAGGCACGACTGTTGGCAATTGAACAGCAGCGCCGGCACTACGAGGCAGCAGCTAAGGCTGCCGATGAAGAACGAATTCAACGATGCGAGAAGATATTCAGTGGAGAGTGAGCTTTGCTCACAATGGCAGCGGACTGGTGGGCCAAGGCCGAGACAGGTGAGATGGAAGAGAGTGAAATCAAGACCTCCTGGCAACATGCATTACACAGCAGGAGGACATCCACAACCTCAACGACGCGTTGGCTCAAGTCCACAGCCGCCTCCGACAGCTGGAGCAGCGACCCGTCGCCGCCCCCGATGCCAGCTCTTCCAACACCTCCGATCGCCTCTAGGCTTTGGAGATTGACGTCGGATCCCTCAAGGACGGCGTGCAGTTACAGCAAACCGCAACGCAACAGTTGGAGCAGCGGATCTGTACTGCTGCCACCCACTCGAGATCAGAACCCCGTGAGACAACTCCAAAGTTCGATGATCAGGAGATCTTCTGATACGAAGACGAAGACGGACCCGATTCCATGGTTCCGCAAGTTCGAGCTCAAGTTGCAGCTCCACCACGTCAGCGAACACAAGCATCACGCGTACTTATACTCCCGGTCGGGGGGCGCGTGCCAAGCATGGTTGGACAATCTCTTGTCCAAGTACGGAGTGGTAGCTGCCGACTTGCACACCATGATCAGCTGGGATGATCTAAAGGCGGCGTGGCATAAGCGGTTCCAAGTAGAGCCGCCGGAGATCAAGGCAATGGACAAGCTGATGACCTTTGAACAAGGCACGCTGCCGAGTGTTGACTGGATTGCCGAGTACCAACTCTTGACATCCATCCCAGACATTCAAATGAGCTTCAAGGTCGTCAAACACTACTTCATCTCGAGGTCGTGTACGACGTTGGGCAATGCCTTGACTCATGTCGAGGACACCCTGACGACAACGGCGGAGCTCTTCGACAAGGCTGCACAGATCATTGTCACGAACAAGGAGGCCAAGAACCTCCACCGTTCTTCTGCGGCAGGCCTGAGCAGAGATCAGCATCAGCCGAAAGTGGCCGTGGTGGCGGCGGCAACGCCAACCGACCAAATTAGCGAGGCCGTGTCCGCCTATGAAGGGGACAGACTCGCAGCCGCCCGGGATGGTGGCCACCCCGGCAAAGGCCGAGGACGCAGCAAGGCGAAGACAAACACCGCATCTAGCCCCGGGCCCGGCGCAACAGCTCCATCCCCATGGTCTCACCACGGTCTCTCCGAACAAGCGTACAAGGCACACACAAAATTCCGCTATCGTCTATGGTGCAACAACGATCTCCACGAGACAGTGGGCTGCCCGTAGAAAGGCAAAGGCGAATCGGGAAACTGAGCACCGCCGAGAGTGAATTGACGATAGTCTCGACGCTTTCAGAACCGATCGCTTCGCGGGTGACGGCCCTTCATTCCGAGGCACATGCTGAAGTCGATAATCCTCCTCTTTTATATTCTTACGAGGACTATGCTGCCCGACTCGTTGCTACGCCGGGTACTCATGCTCAAGGACAGGACGTGTGTGTGGCATCTTCTCCGTCTGGCAGTGGTGACTTATCGACTTCAAGTGGTTCTTCACGGGATTAGGCGCGCGAGTTCAACATAGAGGTATTGGACCCGCTCACGTTCGAGGATTTCACATGGCTTCCTCTCCCGACCAAGGGCCGCTTTCCAGGACCGCAATGCGTAGCATTATGCGCTCATCTTCACACGTATCTATCCTTCTATGCACCACCAACTTCACCGACGGATGACGAAGCTGCGGTGGGGGACATCCTTGCGTATGTTACCAAGGTGGCCCGCGAGTTTCGCAAGCAGAGGTGCGATGACAACAACGCACCTCTCCTCTATGTCCACATCCAAGCTGGGCAAGCGTCCTGCAACGCTTTGCTGGATAGCAGCGCGTCTCGCAATTTGCATGAGTCAAGCCTTTATGCAAAGGGCTGGCAAACCCAACGGCGATCAAGTTGGCGGACGGAAGGATGCAGCAACTTATCGACTGCTACATGCATGCGAACCGGTGACGTTCGACATTTTGGACACGGGCTTCAACGTTATTTTGGGAATGCCTTGGCTTGCAGGTGCGGATCACACGGTCAACTTCCACCAGCGGACTCTTACAGTCCGCGATGCTTTCGGCGCCGAAGTGCAATGCACTATTCCTCTTCTGCACCCTTCGATCCGATGCCAAGTGGTGACGGCCAAGTCGTTCCGGGCAACTTGTGCTTACGAGCAGCCTGACGGGATAGGCCTATGTTTCCTACGGACCGTCGTGGTAGTCGACTCTTCACCCACGGACTTGTCTTCGAACCCCTGTGTGGTGCGGTTGCTTGACGAGTTCGCCGACATCTTCGAGTCACCTACCGGTGTGGTGCCGGTGTGAGGAAACCCGGGGAGGGGTCACCTGCTGTTCACTGAAGCCATGGGCAACAACGCCTGTCACTCGCTGCGCCCGCTTCCGAGGTCCTCAGCGATCGGCAGGGACTAGGGGATTGCATTGCCTGTCATGCCCCCACTTTAGAGCCTGCATTTGAACTCACTCGTCAATAACAAAAATAAATTGAATTAAAAAAAAAAAATTAAAAAATAAATAAATAAAAAATAAAACAGAAATGAAAATTAAATACAGTCTGATTGGTGACCGCTGCTCCTTCACGCTGTAATTGATGTGTCCTAGCATTGCTCCCGATTCTAAACAGTGGGTTTGTATAAAATATTAGTTGACTGAATAGACTGTAGCTTATACACTTAGCGATTATCAAGAGTCCACACCACACTCACCATTCAAATCTTCTCGCCCGAGCAATGATCAACAAGATCCCGGTTCCACAACGAGCGATATSAAATTGACTCAGCAATGATCTGCGAGTATTGGTTGCCCAAAGGACATAGTGTGTCTCTGCCTATGAGCAACGAACGTCTGGTTTTCTAATGAGCATCTGATGTCTGATTCTCCAATGAGCAGCGTGCGTCCGCCCCCTCTATGAGTGGACGTTGTCTGATTCGTTGATGAGCAGCGTGTGTCTGCCCCCTTGATGAGTAGGGGGTGTCTGATCTGTAGATGAGCAGCGTGTGTCTGCCCC